CCCCCGCCACTGCGTGTCGCTGCGCCAGCAGGGTGATCCAGTGACGGATCCGTAGCTTCTATGGAGAGCGAGAACAGGCAGCGTCACGGGGCTGGCAGTGCCGGGCTCCCGCCTTGACGGATGATGCTTAGGTACCAGATACCCGGTCCCTAGGAGCAGCTCCCTGCCCGTGGCCCGTCGCAGGCGGGGTGATGCTGCAGCCCCGGGGAGAGCGAGAAGCAGCCAGGCTGGAGCAGCGCAGCCCTGTTTAATCCAGCTGCCAGGCTAACCTTTTCGGAAAAGGCGACCCACAGACACCAGTTGGAGAAGACGTTAACTGCCCGGGCACTCACTCCTGGATCTCCACGTCACCGTGTTATGTCAGGCCAATTCCACCAGGCAAATACACAGGGAAGGGCGGGAACTTAACTTCATTTACAAGTTTAATTCTTATGCAAATGCAACGAACAGAGATGCCAGCTGGCTCATCCACCACCTTCCACATCCTAATGAGCCAACCAACCAACCAATGGAGGCGCTAACTGCTCTTATCAGCTTCTTGTGACTACTTGAACAATCTAGAACAGTGACAGAGATGCGGCCCCTGTTCCTCTGGTGTAGCTGAAACAAAAGCCAGAACTATGTAGCACTTTAAAGACTAACAAAATGGTTTCTTAGGTGATGCTCGGGGGTAATAAACCATCTTGTTAGTCTTTAAAGTGCTGCATAGTCCGTCTTTTGAACAATCTAGTCTCTGTCTTTTTTCTCCTTTTTTTCCTCCTTCTCTTCCCCCTTCCCCCACCTCTGCTCCCCCGTCCCCCTCCTGCTTCCCTTATTTATTCTTGGATCTGGACTTTTAATACTCCGGTCATCTGAAGAAGTGGGCTGTACTCACGAAAGCTCACGATCCCAGCTACATGTGTGGTGAGTCTCTAAGGCTGCTAGACTATTCGTTGTTTTTTTAAGTTTTCCTCCCAGAAAGGAAATTCCCTCTGTGGCTGGGTGATCCCACCACGGGCCACTAGGGTCGTGGTCACCAACCAGTCGATCGCGATCTACCGGTAGATCTCAGGGGCTCTAAGAGTAGCCCTTGAGCCCTCTCTGAACTGCGTGCCTGTGCAGTACATTTACATTAGATTTCCTCATTTGAGGAGCAGCTATTCACCGAGCAACAGCACAGGTGAGTAGCTGCGAGGAATGGTGGGAACTGGGAGGTCGGGAGGGCTGAAACACCCCAGCCAGCTGACTGTGGCTTTCAGCTGAAAGAGGCTGCCCCGCGCTCCAGGTGATCGGCGGCTTCTCCTCTGCGCCTGCCCATGTGGAGCTTGGTGCACCCTGCTGAGCGTCATGGCCAGCTGGCCGGGCAGCCGCTTCTCTTCCCTCCAGCCCGGCTGGGCCGCTCGCCTGCGC